AACTGCATTATTAGAAAAAAATCCTGAAGTGCCTTACATAATGCCTTTAGTCCAAATACAAAATCAGGTAGATACTTAAACATATACTGTCAAGTATCACACCTATGAAATACGTGTACATGATTACAACAGAACTGAAATAACTCGCCAGAATCACTATAAAGCTTAGTGGTGGTTTGAACATCCTGTAGTATCATTTTATCTGAAACATTGCACATCTTAGCTTATTATTATCATCATTACAAAACTTACAATAAATTCTAGAGAAAACAACTACCGTAAAATGTTCCATTAATAGTTGAAAAGCTTTCATTTGTTCTAATTATGAAAAATCATCATGGTAACTGACAATTACTGTTATTTCGTACATTTTTGCGGATTGAAGTTTACTTTAAGAGAATGCTGAATAATATTGATGACGTCGAGACTGATTATTCATATGTCTAATGTCATTCCGATAACATCTCGAAACATAAATGAAGTAACATTATGATTTGACCTGAATTGATGTATTTACTATAAACCTCACCCACACGAGTCATTCGCACTTTGCATGCACACTCATTTCATTTCATAGGATCATAAAAGTAATTTACCTGGTTTTACATTGTGACATTGCAAGACAAAAGCATGTCCTAACCAGATTTTGTAAATCATATAACTTAACAGAACTAAATCGTACCACAATATTTATAATTCGTATAGGTTTACAGTCATACCTATCTATAACGGCCACTTAAAGCAGAATGTATAAGGGACCTTTATAGAAAGGCATCCGCTATACAGAGGTTCAAGTACCACCAATGATATTACATTGTAACCAGAATAAATGGTGTTCATAGATAGATGGCCTTCACATACAGATAGTCGATATGACAAGTTTTAACGTTATATTAAACTAGACCAAACAAATTGTTACATTATATAACTAGACTATACAAAGAACTACATTATATAACTAAACCATACAAAGAACTACATTATATAACTAAACAAATCAGATTATTATGTAATATTGCTGTATGCCTTCTGTCATAAGACGAATCCCTTATACGTGACTTTTGTTACATTGTGATATCATCTGGACATTTCCACTTCAACCAATTAATATCAGAACACCAGTTAATATAAGAAAACCGGTTAATATCATGCGCTGCTAAAACTTGGTTCTGGAAAAACCGGGATCCTTTTATCTCAACGACGACCTGAAAAGATGGCGTCCGATAGTGTGTCTGTTTGTCCTGCACAGAAAAAGAAAATGCGATTTGTCTCCTTGGAGGAGAAAATGGGGAAGGAGATGAAGGGAAAAGGATTCGGTAAACACAATGCGCGTAACTGATTCGTCGGTAAAGATAGTTATAGAATATTTACGTGATGTATGATGTTGTGTTTAGTTACGAATTCAGATGCGTCATTATTTATCTTTCTTCATAATAAAATAAAACAGTTATGAACTTTTTACTTGGTAAATATGATGTGATATTAACCGGAAGAACATGAATATTGACCTCGGCGAATACTTGTTTTTCTTCTGGTCAATATCACTGCATATTAATTAACCAAGTAAAAAGTCTATAATTGCTTAGTATTACATTATATAACTGGACGGTACAACGTCTATTGTATATCCTGTCAGAGAGGAAAACTATCACTTTACATTTTCATTTCTAAGTTGATTCGTTCTGTAAAATACGGGCTCATGTACAAGGATACATTATCCAATCTTGATGTCCACTGACTGTGATATTTAGATTCTTTATAACAACATTTAGTCACAACGTCTAACGTTAGCTTGAATGGCCGTCACACTGAGATACGTGCGCTGATGGAAGCACGAGGAAGTACTTGCAGATCTCCTAACTATGCCACATAATCTAGATCGATGTATTGAAATCAGTAAAGAATTGTATCGTTATCTCGAAGTGTCGATTTATATGTATGGTGTATGTGAACTTATCCCCCAAACCCACACTTTACAATAATAGCCCTCCCATATCTTATACAACGTAGGACACCTTTATCTACCCGTCTACAGGTAAACACTTGAAGGACTTCTTTCATTTCCTTGTGATGTTGCCTGTCTGTGACCATATTTCATCTGTCGTATCCAATTACATTTACGATCGCCTGGACTCGATATCGGATAGCATTTAACCATCAAATTTTAGTCAGCGAAGGAAACATGGATGGGCACTGTCGGAGGTGAGTCGGCCGGGCAGACATCGACTTAAATAGCCAATTTTGTCTGTCGACGGGTCTTTTTTTCAAACTGGGATCTTCTTTAGTTATTGTTTGATAAAAACTAGGCTTGATAATGTCGAGCAAGGGTAGAGTTCGCGTAATGTATGTGTTTGGTGTCGCATATTTAGATATACACTTGCCTAGTGATAAGCGTTAGACGTCTCTGTGTGGCAAATCAAAATTAAACATTACTCGGAACGAACTTTAAGCATCTAAGTAAGGATTTTATAGCATAAAAAAAAAATAAATCCTACAAATAAGGCAGCTGATAAGACACAACAGAAAATCAAATGTTCTATACAACGAGGTATATTCCAACAAAATATTGAGGTAAAGGAAGGTTTGTGGTGTTACTTTGATACCTTGCCCAAAACTGAACTTTTTTTCTTTTAATTCAATCTACATTGTATATGTATTTAAATGTAAAAAAAAGCTGCAAAGAAGGGTCCATATTCAAATGAGGTTATATAGCTTAACAACACAACTTCACTTTTTGGTGTCCGAAAAGGACTTTTAATGATAAAATTCTGGATTTAACCAATGCAATTTAAGATCAATGTTGTGCTGATAAAACATGTTCAATAGGGATAATGTAACAGAGAGAAAGAGAGAGAGGGTGGATGGGAGAGGGAGAGAGAGAGAGAGAGTAAGGGGGAGAGAGAGAGAGAGAGAGAGGAGGGAGAGAGGAGGGGGGAGGGACAGAAAGAGAGACAGACAGACAAACACACAGAGAGTCAGACCGACCGACAGATAAATAAAACGAAAGCAAAATACGTGATTGAATTCACGAATTCACATCAGTATAAACTGTAATGGAGTAACTCGTTTGCTATAGTTGTGAGGACAGATCGTTTTGTGGTGTATAAGAGCTCTATACATCAAAAGATCAGTCATTTCCGGGAAACATAAAATATAATTCATCAGAAACCATTTCAATGACAATAAAGATTTTAACCTATTATTGGAATTCCCTAGAATCATAAAAACCACAACAGGGAAAGGTGCGGATGGAAATGGATTTTAGAAACTTCCGTAACTAACATGATTTACAATGTTAAATATTAAAAAATAAATAAGTATGCTTACTACATTCTACATAGGGACAAAATAAGGCAACTTGGATTAACAAAATCTACAAGGCTTAACTAATGTTATTGGGATTAAATGATAAATAAGACTATTGATGTTAGATATTAACTATGGAAAGTGATACTTTTTAAGATCAATTATCTTTATATTCCACGTCTCAATCCTGTAAAAGTGATATGGTAACTCTTTATCTCTACATTTGGTGTGTGTGTGGTTTTATCATGGCGAACAGTGGATATACACCTGTGATTTGATACTTTTATCTGGCGTAAAGGTTCTTTCGTATATCTAAACGTCAACACATCAAGATGTCATTATTGGCCACGTCTGGACACGAGACGCTATAATGTCCTACAACCACACTAACAGATTATAGCCCCATTTCACAACATCATTACTTGTATATTTTACCATTAAATGTTTCCCTGGTCAAAAAGAAATGGCCACTTACACAGGTAAGTCCGGGTCACGGCTATAACGGCCCATTAATTCCATTCACGCCGGAAATCGGAAATGTTTATTTGATAAATATCAGACGGGTGAGGTGGACATGTTGTGATAAAGTCATTCTATAGAAAATAGGTGTAGTGGTTGTTTAGTAAGGTACATCTAAAGGTAAAACTGACACAGACTTAGGAACATCTCGTTAGGATAGAAAAGTATCGAAACGCTTTGTGATAGGGTATTGCGGTACATATAGGTACAATTCATTTCACATAAGGTTTTAGTAAAAAAAAAAGTATAAGGCAACAGACAGAGGTGGACAGATTATAGTATCAGATAATCGATATCAAACATTGATATAAATGTTTTATGATTGGAAATCGGTAAACGAAATTGCTAAACCACACGTGATAATGAAATAGACACCTCACCTGTGAAATGTACAACAGGTGATATTAAAAGGCAGTTCGGCTTCATACCTATAAAATAACTATAGAAATTTCTCCATTTTTTCTATAGTTAGAAAGTCGACAAATTCGCTCTTTCCTTTAAAATAAATGTACCTGAACTTTCGTAAAATTGATTAAAGACGTTTCATTTTGATATTTTCCAAGAATTAGAAAATGATGATACCATATCTTGGTTCCCAGTCATCAGTCAGCATAAATTATTATTTGATTCCAATTTTGTGACAACTCTTATCCACCTTGAACTTCCGCCATCTTTAGATTTAAGATAAATATAAAGTCAAGTACAGAATAACTCTGTGGTTGAAATTTTTTATCAGTTTATTTCCGTCTATGATATCTGACATATAATTAACACAAATATCGCTACAATATTACAGCTATAGTATCGAGAATTATTAAATAGTTTTTTTTACAAATGATAAAGTATACATGTTTTATTTGTTTGTGAGGGAAGTTATGTTTTTATCTTATCTCAACTTTACACTGTCGTCTGTTGTTGAGTGGTAATACTGTCGGTGTACATATGGAACGAAGGCAATCAGTGTCTTTTATGGAACTTGATGCTGCAATCGTTTAGGCACTATCTGTCTTGTAGCCTGTGTAATATTCATCTGGATTTATATCTATTTTGGTTAGAACGCTATTTAACACCAAATGTAACGCACACAAATCTACCCAATTGTATTTGTTCTTTTTAGAAAGATGAGGTATCAGGATTAATTTTCGTCATCTTTTATTGAAATTGCGGGAAATATCATGACGTCGACACCTTTACCACAGAGCGCCACCTGTCGTGACGGCCAAAGGGACGGTTTGATTGCGGGTATTGTGGTATGTGTTGTCTTACTAATGATTGTGTGTGGAATCCTGATATTCGTTCTGGCCAAACAGAAGGGATGGATAAGTACGAGAAGGTAACAGTGGTCTTGTATAACTAATCTGACGTAATGGTGATACAATGTGTTATAACCGTGCAATATTTTCTGTTTTTAAATTGCATTTCAAATACTTGAATGAAAAAAATAATTGCGTATATAAAACATTTTTTTTTAAATATTTATTTTTATTCGTTTTTCAGATTTAATTTTAAAATTCCAAAGTTTAGAAGACCTAGACATGCCAATGAAAGAAGAAACTGTGAGGTAAGTAAGACCCGCAATGCTCTTCTCACAATAAGTAAATCGTTTGTATATGTGTGTATGTTTCGAGCCTGCACTTGTTTCCCATCAGATATTTCCCTGAAATGACTCGCTATTGCTAAAGATGCAGGGCTAGTTTCCAACATACTTCTCCTGTCTTTCCTATAGATCAAACCATCGATTAACCGGAATTACTGACTGACGAGTCGTGGTTGACACTTTCCATCTTATTAAATTCGATGTCTATCAGGGTGTGATAATTTGTCTCTCTCCTTCAAACGAGGTATAAACACGAGTGCTTCCGGGATCGTGCGTCTCTGTTAGATTTACCTATAATCGTTATTTCTTTCTATTGCTCCTGTGGTGGTAACTAGGTAAGAGAAATAAAGTTAATTCATGGCCTTAATGATTAGCCAATAGTCTATGCATCTATCCAGGGCGTTAGTCTTATACTACTCTTGCGTTAGTGTGAAAACTACGTTATTATTGCAAAACCTTTTTACTGCAATTTCATCCTCACCATTTTAGCACTTCAATTTTATGGCATCGTCTAAAATTAAAAAAAAACGAAATTAAATTACAATTCGGTAGGATTTTTTAAATTGCGTTTGGAAACAACATTTCTAAAATGGTTGAGGTTTTGTAATAAAATACTATAACACTAAAAATATAGGGATTGATAAATGTGCAGCAAATCCTTTATCGTTGGCCTAATGTGTGGAATTAATGAAAGCAGAAAACTTCAAGCAAGTGCGTCCATGCGTACAAATGGTGACACGTGACAAGCTTTTAGAAGTGATTTCAATGATAGTTATGAACTTAAATAGCAGCTTTTCCTAAGCTTAAATGAATCGTGACTTTAGCATCAATCCTATGTTTCAGTCATCAGCATATCAAGAAAGGTCGCCAACAACAGATCCGAAATCTAATCCAATCGGAAACATGTCATATGAGGTTTGTCCGTCAATAAAGAAAGACAGGGACACCGGAACCGGAAGTGGCAATAATGACAAAGACGATCAGACCGCGGAAAAGCGGATTTCGACAGTTAGTGGAAGGTCTTATCTAGAACTTATTGTCGGACCTGATGGTTCACAAGTATATGAAAATGTGGAAAACACACATGCAATGAGAAATAAAACTGACGATGATAACAAGATTCATGTTTCCAAGGCTCTAGATAATGATGTATATATAAATTTCGGAAGTGATTTCAGTGATGAAAATGGAGAAATCGTACATGAACCGGAAGTTGACGAGAGTGATCAAATTTATGGTAACGTTGAAAATACCAACGGAAATGTTAGTTATCCTAATAGCAATGAGCCAGGCCTTACTGATGATGACGGGCAAAATTATTTCGTACTAGAGCGAACCAATAGCATTGTGACTGAAAATTATTCATCAAACCAAGAAAATGCTCCTGAAATGTCGGATTATTACTTTGTGCTTGAACCACAGAATGAGACTGTGGAAAGCGGAAATTACTGAAAACGGAGATGTAAAGCGGTATAAAGGCAACGTAATTCTGTTGATCGCTCCACCCCAAGGAATATGACGTCACATCCGAGGTTATGCCTTCAGTCGTTACGTTGGAGATTGAAGCGAATAAATAGTCTCAGGAGAGTATAATATAACAAAGAAAGATATATAATTTTTTTTCACAGAGAAAAAAAATTAAAATTCAAACACGATTTATTCATTTATTACTGAATTTGTATTCTGCATTTCAAATGGTTTATTTTAATGTGTTTATACTTTTTTCTTATTAAAAACATGATTTCCATATTTCTAACGTTGAGTGTATTTACTGACTTCCTGATACTGCTATGATAAAGATGTCATGAATCCAGAGAGTTAGTACCAGTTCTGTTCCAATATACAGAGCTCTATAGTTTATAAAAATATATATCCGTTTACATGCCCTGTCGCTTAGCTATTTAGAGTTTAGATTCATGTCTCAATAAATGCAACTTCTTGTAGTATTTTTTCACATATGTTCACGTTATTAATTATACTGTGTTAGGCGGGGTAATGAAACAATTAAAGGGACGGAAAGCCACCCCATTAACGCTGTTGGGAAATTAGAAAATTGCACGTTAATTGTGTGGTACTTCCTACACAACTCGAACTGTATCCGTCTTAATCAAGTATAAAGAAAATGACAAGATTATTAATTTAACAAAATAATATAAAATTAAGTGAACACATACAGGTCAAACGCAGACTGTCTCGTTAAATCGTAAATGTAAGTAACAAGATGAACATACAAACACTTCTACCGTGCACTCGTAATTATGTTTCGTCTTTGCGCGTGGTGTGTGATAATCTTTATTTCTTAATGATGCATTTGACTGTATTTTCGTAACGCTGCAATAAAGTGTTTCAAGGTGGAGAAAATTTACGAGAAAATGTGTATTTCAAAGGGAAACAATAACTCAGGAACTCGTATCTTCGTTTATAACAAGTATATTTGTACAAGGGGGGTAACTCTTACGAACCTAATTGATTGGAAACATTTGGTAGCAATAAAATAGAAATGCCGTGATAACACAGGGTTTACGACGTACATAAAGCCTACACATATTTATAACTTCCGGGTTATATCCGCCACACTTCGGTACATTATGACTATAATTGATCATGAGTCATTGAAACCACTTGGAGCAGTGTTTATCGGCTAATTCGTAAACTTAATCAGACACCTGAAATCAGATGACTTCCCGGTCAAAAATCTCTATTTGTTATATTGTTGTTAGGTAGGCCCTTCTCTGGTTGTCTAACGTATGAGACCAATGAATAAGCATTAAAGAGCCAGTCCTTATAAAAAATAATATATTACGTCTGAGAAATCAAAAAGGCTAGTTTCACCTGACTAGCACAGGGACCTGGGAATTTTGTTAGGGTTTATATTGTGTGTAGATAAACGTGTGTTCAATTGCCTTGCTACTGTTGTTAGACGATTTTTGGGAGGAAAGATCAATACTCAGTAAAAATGACACCCTCCTTGTATGTACAGCGTAAAAGGTTGTCATTTTTACAGCCAGGTGAAGTGAAATATTTTAAGTTTCAGACAACGACCTGACAATTGGACATTCACGTGATCAGTGGAATAGCCTACTGAGAAACCTATACATAGAAATGGCTTTTTAAAAAGTGAGAACATGATGAACACTGACAGACAAGCATTTACGGAACAAAGTGTGTAAATAGACAAGAAAGAGTGGACTGGGTTTAGAATTAAGATTTCTGACCTCAAAAATATGTTTAATTGTATACAATGTGCAGGTAAAGAAATTAATTATAGGGATATCACTTAGTATAAGAGTATTCGTTAGGTAGGGCGGTATTCGAATAGGAAAAATGATATTCAAATACATGTATTCGCTTTCACAATTGTAATATATCGACGTTTGGAAGATCGCTAAAATTAATTTGTTCACTGTCGACGAATTGCCCAATTTTCATTCCGAATAGAATTTTGTCAGCTTAATCAACAAGGTATTAAAATAGGACCAAATGTGTTCCCTAGCTACCATATCAACAGGTAAGTACTTGAAAACTGGTATTTAATGAGATTTATTGTGTAATATTGACACACACTTATCATACATATATTAATTATCACATTATTACCAGTTATCCGAAATACTTCCTTATGAAACAAGATTGTACAGGTACGGTATAATGAATTGACTCGAATCGATCAAACCAATCATTGTTCAGCCGCTGTCCACCCTTCTGTCATTTTGGCCATATTCTAAAAGGCCATCTGTTGATAACGCTTTTATGATATGGAATTTAAATAATCGTGGGCCTTTGATCTAGCCGTTAGGTTATGACGACGCTTTGTGTTCTGTATAACGGTAAACTGTGAAGTATTAGTTTTATCATTCGTACTTATTGTGTCCGGTATATTTACAACATCCCTCCTGATATGTGCGTTTACTACTTTGTATCGAAAGAAACTGACAGCGGTCTGGTCCTTAGATATCTCGACCCGAGTGTAAGAGTTTGGCTACTCCACACGAGGATTACCGAACTCAGCACGAGGATTACCGAACTCAGCACGAGGATTACCGAGTGAGGGCCAGCCAAACTTTTTTCTCGGGGGTTGATACACCCCTGTCTGTCCGTGCACTTGATCCATGTTTGATTCATTTTATCACGTACTAAGTAACAAATTGTAAATTGCCGTGAAACCTTTTCATTGCACCATCATCAACATTCTATGAGATGTTCGTCAAAATGGATGACGTTACAATTTGCGGCATGGTTACGCTACATAAAATGATGACGCTACCCATTTTTGAGTAGCTTTATACCCACAGAAACCCTAATTATATCTGAGAAGTATCGGAAAGCTTTCTTGCTCTTTTCCAAGTATATCATCAAATATTGCTGTAACCATAAATCAAAAGACAGTGATTATCCTCTTGAAACCCCTTTTATTGCACATATCTTTTTTATTTTTAGCTAAGCTGTCGAGATTCGCCAGAGTAAATGTGACTTTGGCTTGCAAAATCTAATATTTTTCTGAATCATGAAAAATGTTCACACATATAGTTGACACAAGCCCATTAAAAATTAAAAAAAAAAACCAGTTAAAGAAAACGTCAAAATTGCAGATATCTATTTTTTAATAAAATATAAATGTATTATGAATCGATCTATGAAAGAGGCATGCTTCCTCATTATGTACCTTGGGGGACTTGTGTACAGTAAATCACGGGTTTTGTATCCATATGTGTGTTTTTCTTCAATCAGATCGAGAGAACGGCCTGTATTGACTAAACTTCGTGTATACAGCTTTATGTTTATGTCAATATTCCAGACAAATTACAGGAAAGTGTTCAATAAAGGCAATTTGGTATTGAAAACAAACATTTCAGACGCGTGTTATCAGCTCTGGGTGACATGGAGTCCACATGTTTGAACTTCCCTGTATTGACTGAAGGATTCACAGAAATCATTTCGATAGTCCTCGGTATTAGAGATGAAAATATTACTTCGTAAACAAAGAAATCAACAAACCCGCATAATGATTTAATTAAGTGACTTTGGTATCCTGATCTCTGTTCGAACAGGTCAGATAAATCGACAGATGTTAATATCGGATAAAAGGTGAGCGCACAGACAAAGACCATATTCGACCACAATAAATAATGTTAAGTCTTCAGGGTTTGCAGTAGGTAGTAAATCACTTCGTCGATTTCCATGATTTTATGTAAAGATAACGGTAAATAAGGACATGTGTTTGTGTTAACGTTCTTTATATTGAAGGAGAAAGTGTAGAACAGCTGACAACGGGTACGAGTAAATCTTTTCTGAAAAAGTTAGACTGATTGATATCCTAGCGTCACACTGGACGGCGCATGCGTTAATGAATTATAATGTCAATGAACATGTTGGTCGATAGCCTTCTATTTTTTTTTAACTGATTGAAACATTTCTATATCTTGTTGGCACTCTTACTAATCATACGTGTTACTGATACAAATAGATCAGCACATGCCATACAGTTTTAAGATATTAACCATTCTTTTTATCTATGGAGCTGAAAACACAGACTTTGATACCTCCAATAAATTTACAAATACCTTGTTAAAAAAGAACGAAAATATGTTATCGCTTAGACTGTATGCAATAGTAAAAAAAATCCCCAAATCCGTGATCATTTTTGGAAAAACAAGGAACATTCGGTGTGAAATCTTTGTTCTGAACAGCTGTATTCCGTTATCGACTCCCCTGTATATTTCTTGTCGGCGTTAAGATAGGCCAGTTTAGTGTTTATTGTTTATTAAAAGATTTGTTTTAAATCCTTTGGTCTCGACTAGCCCGCATTTTATCAAAACACAATGTCGATATTTTATGGGACAAAATGTTACTCTATGTACACAATAGGTAACTTAAAGTGGGTGTAGCAGTATAAACTTTTATAGATAATCTCAAGACTCCCGACCTGTCGAAGGGTTTTATAATTTTATGAGAGTTGCTTGGTTTTGCCTAGTTTTACAACCCCCTAGGTACACAGACAGGTCCTTCAGATCGATGACTTGTTACAAAAATCCCAGTAAGGACACGACCAAAACTTCACTACACTTGTCGATTTAACAATATGGTGGCCTATTGGGGTCAGATAAATAACAGTTGTCCCAATCTCTCTACCCCGATCCAGTTGACAACGTGACAGTTTGAAGAATAGCTGCACGTGCGAGAACACATGACAACACGAGAACATGACTGGGAAGTAAGATTAATCACTCTCTCTATCAAAACACGTATAAATTATCGGAAATGTGTGCATATCATTGTCATTAATACTTGTGTACAAATCCCTCAACTTCTTAACGCGGGAATGTGAGTCTAAAGTGGCGAGAGAGAGTGTGTATTCGACTGGGGGCGTGAAACTGGTATCATTCTGTTGTCATGGTCGTATTCTTAATGTTAACATATGTATAGATTTCAATTTTGTCCCAACTCAACAGGAA